GTGTTTCTCCTGATGAGTCTTTAGGCTCCTTTTCTGTCATGATAAGAGTAGACCATATAGGAACCATTTACTTGCAGCTTGCTCAAGTTTCCCATATGGCAGGAAGGCTGTCCACAATAGCTGTGTTAATGTGACTGATTTGTTTGTTTTGGAGCTGGTTCACATGTGGTCAGCTCTGAAAGTAAGCAGTGAGCTTTTCTCTATCTTGGAGGGGCTACGTAGACATCTGCATGAGTATCTTCAAAAAGGAGATGTTCTGCAGCCTTTTCTCAGAAAAGACACATCATGGCACATTTAATTTTACAGTAAGAGATGCATACATGTGTTTTTTTAAATCTCCATTTATCTAAACAGAAGTGAAACACTGAACAAAACTGTTATTCCAAATGTTTAATAGGTATCAAAAATACAAAAAAACCAGCTTTGAGGAAGCAAGCTATGCATATTGTGTGCTTTGTCATAGAAATAAGAAATGGGTGATGTGGGTTGTTCTGTTTTATTCAGGCTCAGCAGTTCAAATACAAAGTAATGTTCCGAGAACCAGATACTTGGTGGAAGTTTAAACCAAAAGAACTTGAAAGGTAAGACTGTAAAGGAAAACATGATATTAGACAGTATATCTTTCACAGTCTATAAACTGTGATTTTTAAAAAGGTATCACTTAGTTCAGGGAGTAGTGAAGCAGTCAAAATTTTTGTGATAATAAATACTTTTTATAAGATACTAACTTTTGTGGTATTTTGTATGTATTATAAGATTTTTTTTTATCACTTTAGACTTAACTACATGCAGAAGATAGTGTGAGCAATAGATATTATGTGATGTTTTCATTATTACAGTTCTCTGCATTTATGGTACTGTGACTGCTCCTTTGGGTTCCTGAGGCTGCAGAAGTTATGTCAGGTTGGGGCTGGTTTTGCATCCAACTGCTCTGTTGCCTTATTTGAAATGTTTCTGCTGTCACTGAGTTTAAGGCAATCAACACCTCATGGCCTGAGAGGGACAAACCCCTGTGCATCACCATTGTTGCTCAACTCTTCTTTAGCAGGACCTTCTATTACTTAGAGCTGAAACAGGTAAAACACAAACCCCATTTAAATAAGATAGCTGGAAAATCGGTTTGGTGCCAGGCTTAAATGGTATGAACAGTGTCCAAAGACCAAGATGAAGGCTGATGTCCCTCTGGGATGAATACTAGGACATGCAACTACTTAATGTCCAGTTTATGACTTGGATACTGGGACAGAGTGCACTCTTAGCAAATTTGCAGATGATGCTGAACTGAGCAAGAGTAGTTTATTCAGCCTTAAGAAGACAATATAACAGAAGGAGCATATTGTTGTTCTCAGCTACCTTTTGCAAAGTCATATAGAAGACTAACAAGAATTGTACAGGGATAGGACAAAACAAACATCAAGTTGGAACTTCAGAAATATGGATTGCATAAAGAAAATACCTAAACTTACTTTGAAGGTAGTTAGGTACTGAAAGAGTTTGCCCAGAGAGTTTGTAGACTATCAGTCATTTGGGATATTCAGAATTTGATATTACAAAGCTTTGGGCAACCTGATCTAGCTGTACCTTCTCTGAGTAGGAGATTGAAGTATATGACCTACAGAGGTGCCTTTCAGTTTAAGTTATTTGGTGATTTGATAGTATCTGTTGTCATCTGAATTTGCATACTTAGCTGAAAGTTGGCCACTTTTTATGTGAGGTAAGAAAGATTATTTTCTTTTTTAAAACAGAACTTACAGGAGAAAAAGTTTATCTTCAATTTCTGCTTTGCCATCCTTGGCAGGATTCAGTAGTTCCAGGTGGAACTGCTGCAGAGCACAGTGCTAGTGGGTGTTTGACAGAGTTAGTGAAAAATTTTAGCCAAAGGGTGTTCAAAATAAAAGGTGAATAGGTTTTGCTCTAGAAGTTCTTAGTTTAGCAAAACCAGAGAAAGAAGGCTGAATTCAGAAATCTTCTGTACTCAGTTTGATATCCTGCATCACTGCCAGGATCCCGTATGGTGTGTTTCTGAAACTTATTTGGGGATGCATTATTGATACAGATTTAGATTTGAGTATTGTGCAGAACATCCCATTGCAGTACAGGGACACAAGGTGTGATGAAGAAATCAAGTGGAGCAGGAGTTTGTCTGAGATATCCTGTTTGGAATGCCTTAATGCACTGATACAGGAAGAACTTGTGTTTCACAGTTTTTGCTCTTGACCCATGAATTCTTTGGTTAGTCTTGCTGTAAATTTGTTATTCTCTTCTGTCATTGTAATACACAAATGTGAAATAGTTTGTTTCTTTTTTTTTCTTGTAATTCCTAGGCGAAACATTCACGGTATATCTAAAGAAAAGATCAAAAGAATGTTGGAGCGATACGAACGCTGCCTTACTGTTAGATCCATACTGAATTCTTCAGTCCCAGACAAATCAGAAGCAGCTGGTTGGAGTGAAAATCCTCATCAGGAGGAAAGCCACAGGTTAGATTCTTTCACTAGCTTTGTAGCTTCAAACAAAAGGCTAAAAATTCAGACTTTTTAAAAGGTTTGAAATGGGCTTATCTTCATTCCAATTTGTCTTTCAGAAAGAGAGAGGCCCATTCTGATATAAAGGAAGAAGAACCTTTTGCTTCTGATGTGAAGCCTCTTGAATCAGCTGAAGTTGATAAAACTTCTGGTATTTCTGTAACCTTAGAAAGTAGCTGTGATCCTGAACATTTTCACAAAGAGGAAAAAGAAATGGAAAATAACTCAGTGAAACACAATTCTGAGGACAGTACTGTTCAAGATGACTTGGATGTTTATTCATCAGATTGCATTGAAAAAGAACTGCCCTTGGAAAAGAAAGAAGAAAAGGGAGAAAAAATAGAGAAAAATACTGAATCTGAAATGGATGAGGTTGATGTGATCACAACTGAAGAGACTGTGAAGTTGCTTACAGAAGTAGTTGAGGAACACAGTGATAACAACATTCTCGAAGTTCAAACTGCAGTTGAACAATCAGGCAAAACATGTACAGAGCCAGAATCAACACAAAGTGGTGTCACAGGGGAACCAAGCAGTTCAGCTATTGACACATCAGGAAAAACAGAACTGCTAAACTTTCTGGGTGACTGGCCTGTAGAACAAACAATGGGACAGAGAGTCAAAAGATCTAGAAGACTAGAAAAATCTCCTCTGAACTGTGATAAGGAAGGCAAAACTCCCAGTCAGCAGCATCCTGAGATAGATAAAGAGCAAGTGGGCCTGCCTGAGACAGGTGCTGTTGAGAAGGGACAGGAGGAAGAAAATCTGGTCTCTGTTAGTTCAGACAGAGTTGCACCAGAACTGCAAATGATGGGACATTGGCCTGTATCACCCTCATTGGAACAGAGACAACAAAGGTCAAGGAGAATGAGAAAGACAGATTTAAATCAGTCTGATGAAGGTAGAAATGCTGAAGGTGACACGAGTATAAATGCTCCTGAGACTGTAGAGGTGCTTTGTGAGACACCTGTGGACACTGAGGAGCAACCAGATATAAAGAGTTTGCCTATGCACCAAGATGAAATAGTGAATAGTGAAACTGTAAGTGAGGAAAAAAACCAGCAAAATAAGAGAACAAGGAAACATCACAAATTAGCCCTCACTTTTACAAACAACAGTTTGCCCCATCCCAAAGAAGAGGACCGTTTGTCTAACCTTAAGGCAGCAGAAGAGAAACAGGAAACTTGCTTATCTAGACAAAAAAGCAGTTATTCACAGACTGAATCACAGGACTTTGCTCTCCTGTGGAGATTAGAAAAGAAAATGCTTTACCCTGAGACTACCAAAGTATTGCATGGCAGACTAGATGGTTTCAAACCTAAAGATATAGATAATGCCTCAGAGTCTCAGGAAAAAATACCCTATCGAGTTACGTATGATAAAAGTACGTTTGTGGAAGAAAGTGAACTTATCAATATTGATGACTCTGAAAAGCTAGATACTCTGTGTAAGCTCTTTGAGGCTGTTTCATTTGAAGCTCTGAAGGATCTGTATGAAAGATGTAACAAAGACATAGACTGGGCTACAGGTTTGCTGTTAGACTCTGATGAAAAGTTATGCAGAGCTGTTGATACTGAATGCTTTCAGGTAAGAGGAGCTGAGCCAGTTGTCACAGACCTTGATTTCAAGGCAAGTACAAACTATGATGAGAATCTCAAAGAGTGCGAACAAATGTCACAAATAATTGGGGCTGGTGATACCTCTGAGGCTTCAGAAGACAAGAACTCATCACTTAGTGTTGCAGAAAACAGGGCTACCAAGGCAACTGTGACAGGTGCTGATGTGTCTGATTTGTTCACTGCTGCCTCACTGAATGATTCAGTGGAACTGAAAAATTGTGGGGACACAGCCCCTAGAACTGCCACAGGCAGCTCAGCAGCAGGTGTCATTGAGCTGTCTGTTTCAGGAGAGCAGAAGGTGGAGTCTGAAAGTCCTGTTGAAGAAATTACAGATAAGGCATCACTTTCACAACTTGATGCAGGTTTGTGTACACCCATGACTTTGCCTCACGGTCCTAGCACGAATTCTACCAGTTTGAAATGTGAATTAAATAATGAAAGTGACAGTAACCCTTCAGAAAGCAATGCAAGGAATGCCAGTGCCACTGCTTCGTTACTGGAAATGGATCATGCACATCTGGTCGGTCCTAGGAGTGATAAAGAACTGGAGATGGATAAAGAAGCCCAGGAGAGTTCCAGGGAGGTATGTGGGAAAGAAGAAACTGAAGCTCCAAGCTGGACTGCAGCTAAAGCCAAGAGACAAAGCCCTGCATCAAATTCAGCCTTCAGTATAGATTGCCTAGAACTAACACTACCACCTGAACTGGCACTCCAGCTGAAAGAGATATTTGGGCCTGTTGGCATTGATGCAGGTATGGACATAATTATATCCCTGGTTTTATGAAAAAAACCCTCAGTTTGGTTTTTTCCCTTTGTGCTTGATTTTTAGGGAATAGGTTTGCACAATTTCTCGTGGTACTGTTTGCTGTTGTTAATCCAAAACCAGAACTGAACTAAGCATGGCATAAAATATAAATGCTGTAGTGCTACCTTCTGCCTGTATCTTTTTGTATATGCACGTATTTTTAAATAATAAGAAAATACATTGGTTTATTTGCATTTTGAGCACCAGGTCTTTGAGCCTATATTCAAACTCTGAAGAGATATTGAGATGATGAGGAATATGCAAATTTTGGCAGATTGGGGAAATAAAAAGAGAAAGCTTGAGGCATCATTTAAGTTGGGGAAGGAGAAGATCAATGGTTAGACATAATATGAAGTGTGACTATACTTAGAAGATGAAAACAGACTAGTCTGTGGAGAGGTTATGATTAAGGAAGCCATAAGTAGCTTGAATGCATATCACAAAAGTTAAAGACTGGTGGAAAATGAAAGAAAATACAAGGAATATACAGCTTGGTTGATTTCTCCTTTTTTTTTTTTCCCATTTTTTTCCTCTCTTTTATCCTGAATCCTTGGTGTGAAACCCTGGATACCTGATTTATTGGTGGGTTTGACTGCTGGCTTCTTTGCCTTCCATGCCTAGCTCCTAAAAAAAAAAAAGTTTGTTTTTTATAGCAGGAAAGTATTTTATTGTGTCTGAAATATCCACTGCATTTTTATTTCCAATATATGTACTTCTTACTTTTTTATTTTTGAAAGGGCGACAAATGGTATCAGAAAGATCTTTCAGGGAAAAGATGTATCATTATGATACCATGGTAATTCCTGCCATTTCCTATAGATCTGGAGGGGGTAGTTGGGGGTTTGCCTCTGAGATTGTGTGTTTGAAAGGAGGGATGTGCCTGCTGTTGGGCTGTGGTGGGAATGTTGTGGTACATAAAAGCAGTTGCCATGTGGACTGCAATGGAATAGGGAGAATCAGTTTTACTAATGAAGCTGTTCTTGTAAGTTAACAATGGCTTTCTGAAAGAAGGTTCTGCTAGAAAACTGGAAAAAAAAAAGGAGGAAAAATGTAGTTGTTCAGGTACTAATATTTCAACAATATATAAGTAATGTTAACTTGTTTTTTTCCTACCCTCTCTGAGTTTTTGAACACCAGATAACAATTTCTGTGGAATGCTTTATTTTTTTTGTTGAACTTGGCAGTTGCTGAAGCTTTTTTTAGGCATGGCAATTTATGCAGAATCTCCAGGATTAAAATTTATAAGTCTAGGCTACTGTACTTTAATTGCTTAGGAAAGTTTTTATAGAATGTTTTAATGAATCTATTTTCTTTATTCCATAAGGATCGCTAACTGTTGAGGATTGTGTGGTTCATATTGATCTGAATTTGGCAAAAGAGATTCATGAAAAATGGAAAGAATCTATTCTGGTTAGTAGATTTCTTGCTTATGATACAGTATGGCACACTTGAGCTTTGTCAGACCACTTGTCTCCATATGTCTTGGTCTAAATGTGTAATAGATAAGTGTCTTTGCAAGAACAATGATAAAATATAGTAGTTTGTAAAATATGTGGAGTGTATCAGTATGTCATAATCATCAGAGCTATGGAAAGACAGTTTTAGGAATGTCATAAGTGCCTCATCACAAAACCAAGATTCTTAAAAAAGAAGGATCATAATGCACAATTTCACTACGAGATTGATCAAAAATTCCACTGGCCAAAAGTCATTATTGTTTTTTTGACATGTAAGACTTCTTTTATGAGTTAATCTCTATGTAAAACATCTCCACGTGCATTAATTGAGATGAGTTCTCTAACCTCTGTTCCTTCATAGCTTTATGAAACTTGGAATGCTTTTTTGGCAGAATTATGTCTCAGCAGTGGGGCTTGTTGCTCTAGTTTGATGTGTTTCAGGAAGACATTTCTAACTTATGAATTTCACTTCATAATGATTTTTCTTAAATGTGTCCTTAAAATACTGAATCTTTGAGAAATACCGTGCAACCTTATTTTGAAGCTGGTTCACTTAGAAACTAACGCTTGTGAACTTTTGCTGTAAAATTTATGACTTAAAATGTTCATGATTTTGCTATTTTTATTTAGAAACGTCAGAGGAGAGATGAATCGTGGAGGTTGTCTGCAGAAGGTATGTTGTGCATTTTTGTAAAAAATACTTAATTCTCATTATAAAAACATTTAATTCTTTGCAGCTTCAGTAAGGTTGCAAATATTCTGTCTGTTGAAAAAGGATGGATTTATTTATTAAGCTAAATTTTATTGCTCTCAGATCCAATTACCATTCTCTTACAGAGGTATGAGGGAAGAGAGAGAAGTTGACTGTAGCAGAATTCCTAGTACCAGGTAGATGTAAGCAAAAAGCCTATCATTTTGTGTAATTCAGAGAACTTCAAAAGGAGCTCTGGCTGAATGAGATGGCTGTTTGATAGGACTTCTCTAACCTCTGAGCAAGAAAAGGTGCAGCCAGAGAATTACTAGCAGGGTAAGATTTCTGCAGGTGAGGGAGGGAGTTCGAGAGCATGTTGTTCTTATCAGAGATGATTGTAGGGGAAGTTGTATGCCTTGTTCAAAATGTGTTAACATCTCTGGTAGTCCAGTCTTCATTCAGCTCCCAGAAGAAATGTCCCCTCCAGCAGAACCCCACTACTCTGGCATGGCACCTGGGTGCAAACTCTCCACTTGATGAGCAAACAGTGCTCTTACCATTAACTCCTAGGAGTGTAAAACCAAATTGTTCAGCAACTGTCCTTAAGCTGCAGAAGAAAGGCAGATAAACTTGTAAAAACATGAGTCAATGATTTGCTTATAAAAGCAGATAAACTCCCCACACACTTCAGCAAAGTAGTTTACAGCTGTAAATGTCTGTTGCACTTGATAACCTGGGGAGGAAGTCTGATGGTGTTGCTTTTGTTTCACAAAATAGATAAGGATAATCAGGCAGGCTTCGAAAAATGGAAGCAAGGGAGGTGAAAACAATGTGTTGCTTTCTGTTCTAGCATTAATAATCTTGTTTTAACAAAACTCAAACCACTCAGGTTGAAAAACTTGTCTTAATTATTTTGGCATTGCTTGTGTGTATATATATACTAATAAGTGGTTTATTTCTCACCTCATTTTTATTGCTTTTGAAGGTCCTACTGTGATTCAGCAGATAGATACAGATGACTCAGAAATGCTGTTGTCTCAGAATGCAGACAGTAACATACAGAAGAAAAAAATGAGCTGGGCTTCAGGCTCATCTAATGACATACAGTCAAAAAACCCAGCAACATCAGACATTTTTCCTTTTATGGATCACTGGAATGCTCAGATTCAGAAAGTTTCTCTCAGGCAAATAATTTCCGAAGAAATAGCTATGCAGCAGAAACAGGATCTGGTATGGATAGCACCATTTTTTCATGTGGTTTAGATTCATTACTATTAATGAACCAGAATATGTCTTAGTTGGTGACTCATCTTTGTGCTGCTGATTACAGCCTGAATTTGTGAGACAAATGCATGCCAATTAGTGTTGTTGGTTACTGTGATATGAGAATCTGCTTGTGGTAGGTGTTTCTGTTTGAAAAATACAGTCTCATTAAGATTGTAACCTTCTGATTGTTTCACACACAGATCATGGTGCATTTCACTGTACAGGTTAGCATTTGTGTTTGGTTGAATTGGTTTTTTGATTGCTCGCCTGAAGTCAAAGATCAGTTTGGTTTCCCATGCTTTTTATTGTGAAAGCAATATAGAAAAAAAATGTTCTTAACTGGCTCCGTGCCTTGTTTGTTTGGAAGTGCATTGAATTGGTTTTAATACATTTTTGTAAGGAGAACCCACAACATTCCTAACAGATGAGACATTAAAATAAGTACTTGAGGTTAATCTCAAAGAAGTTTCTGTACCCACTTGTCAGAAAATAGTACATTTTTAATAGATTTTTGCTAGTTCTTTATTTTCCACGCAGTTCCCACACCCTGCCTGTTTGTGCCTAATAGTGCCCTCTGCTGCTGTTTGGGTTTGTAATTGTCTCTGAGAAGCAGCCGGCCTAAAAAAGAGGAGCTTTGAACTGGTATAGAAAGTTGGATGGATTAGCCTGTACTTTGAAAAATGTCTTGTGGATTCTTTCTTTTGAACTGCATGTATGTGGCCTACTGATAATAACAACTGTCGTGTCCTCAGTTTCCTTTTCAGTTTGGATTTGTGGAGCTTGGCTTTGTTTTGACTTTTTTTTTTTCTTTTTTTAAAATCTGAATATTGGAACGATCAGTCCGATTTATTCTGGTCTATAATTATGTCATCTTCTCAGATGACTTCACAAATAAGAATATTTATTACAGTACAGCTTCAGATACACCAAACCAAGTTGTTTATGCTGCTTAATAATCAAATGTCATTTCAACCCCAGGCCCTCAGGATAGAGAAGAGAGTTGGACTTTGCACAAACTTAAAACTGGATTAGATAGACTATCAGGGAATAAATTCCAAAACTTAAATTACTCCTAAAAAAATCCTCCTTTTGCTTTGTCCTAGTTTTGAGGGAGCTCCAGCTGCATTATTTGAAATGACTGCAGAGTCCTGCAGTGGTGTATAATATAACTCACCAGTTCTTACCTTATGCTGCTCAGTGTGGCAGGCTGACATTGGCATGTTGTCTTTGCTGTGGGCACATACCAACTGAGTAAATAAATTTTTATATCTTAACAAAGTAAACTTGGATTGGCTCTGCTGTTACTACATTTTGTTCTAATCAAGAACTTGTAATATTTTTCTTTGGTCTTCTGCGTAGAATCGTGTTCCTTCTAAGGCTAGAAAAGACTGTGCTGCTAAGCTAAAGGAGAAGCAACTTTTTGAGATGTTTCCAACTATTAATCAGAATTTCTTAATGGATGTCTTCAAGGACAACAAGTAAGAAATCTTTATGGTTCTTTCTAAAAATGGTACTCAGTAGCAATTCTACAGTACAGAGTTACTGTCTTAAATATTAAGAGTTAAGATACTGTTAAAAAATGACTTTTTCCAAAGTAGCACTCTTTTTGTTAATCTAAATAAAGGCAAGCTAGCTGGTCTTAAAGGTAAAAAGGGCATAAAACCTCTATGTGTAGGCTTGTTTCTTTTGGGGGGAGGGAATAGGCAGTTTTTCTCACTGGGAGAAGAATTTCTCTGGCTATTGACCACTGACTGTCAGTGGAACTGTGTATTTGCTCTAGAGCTCAGGTTTAAAATCAAGTGGGAGAAATTATTGGGTGTGGTAATAATAGGTTGATGGAAAATGGCATCCACCCAAGAGGAAAACTACCTTCACCTGATGTTAACTGTGAGTACTTTCCTGGTTACTACAGCAGCTCTGAAGGAATGAGCCATCTCCATCTCTTCCTGGTGACATTCTCTTTCTCTCTTCTGCATTATATTTCTGGGGTATGTGTCTACCTTCTTAAATCCAAGTTTCTGAAAACTGAACTTTGTTTTTGAGAGAAATGTCTTTTTTCATCCTTGGCCATTTGAATGTCTGTCTCTACATATGGGTTTACATACTACTTATCAGTCATTCTGCTTGTCCAGGTTGTTAGAAAAATCTTTCCTGTTTAAAATATGTCCTTCCTCCATCTCTATAACTCAAGCATTTTACCATCTCTTGTTTTTCAAATTCTAAGTTCCTTTCATAGTGTTGCCTTTCCTAAAAATCAATCTTTACTTTTGATCAGTCTCTTGTTAGCTTACTGAAGAACAGGAAGAATAAAGAAGAAAAGGGGCTTATTAGAAATCTGATGGTAACTGATGTTAATTAAATTTAATAACAAAGCCTGACTAAAAATACAAGTATTTTCCTTCATAATGGTTTCAGAAAACTGAGCTAGTTTTAAATTAGTTTGTACTAGCTAGCCCTGACCCGAGAAGATTTAAGATGAAGTATCTTATCCAGCCCAGAAAGCAGTGTTTACTAATGTCTCTCTGATTAAGATAGGATGCAATTTACTTTAATATTCAAGTGCCCCTCAGTTAGGTTTCAATCAGCCAAGGCTGTATGTGTGTGGATGCCAGTAATGCACTACAGGGAGTCTGCAACCCTTTTTGCAGTAAGGTGGAATATTCCATTCCAGTGCTTTATTGCCATTGTAATCTATTTCTGTAACAATATCAGGGTTTGTAACATGCATTTTGATAAATGTAGCAGCTATTAATGTATTCATTAATAATGTAATAATGTAATCAGCATCACTGATTTTACTTATCCTTCGCAGCTACTCTTTAGAGCAAACTGAACAGTTTCTGAACTGTGTTCTGGAGGCAGATCCCGTAAAAACAGTTGTAGCTCAAGAAAGTGTTCAGCAAAGCGATGTTGTTTCTTCCTACAGTGCTGCAAAGAACCGGGAGAAGAAGGTATTTTTTTTTTCTTTTTAAATAGCAGTTACAAACATAGCTTTGGATATGTTAAACACCCTCCAGTGCATACTTAGCTTCAACACTCTGAATCCCTACAGGCAAAAAAAAATAAGGAAGAGGATGATGCTTTGAGTGAAGTATTTCAAGACTTTGAGTATCCACAGTATGATGATTTAAGAGCAGAAGCTTTTTGTCACCAGCAAAAGAAACAGGAATGTTTGAAAAAGGCTGGGGAGGCCTATCGCATGGGTATGAAGCCTGTGGCAGCATTTTATGCACATCAGGTAAACACAAATACTGTGCTTTTGGTCTGAATTTAGGGAGGTACTTAAATACCGAACTGAAAATTATAAGAAAAACCACTGTGCCTAGTAGAGCTGAGAAATAAAAATTCCATAAACTTGAATTTGCTTGTTAAAAAAGCTTTCACGCAATTGGCGTAACATATCACTCTAAATGTTTAGATTGTTACTGTGCATGTAGGAAATGCTGATTATCAGTCTTTAAAATGAACTTCTTATGTTCTTTGTTCATACATTCTTCACATTTTAAGAGATTCTAAACAAAGGTCTGCACGATTTTAAATAGAAATCTAATTTCAAGTCCTGTCTTACTCTTGTCCTTAGTTATAAGGACAAATATGATCTGGAAATTTATTTTATACTTAGGTAATATAGAGACCAACTAAGCCACCTTTCTTAATGAAAAATACTTCATGCTTGGTGGTCTTTGTCTTGGGAATCCTCTGGAAGAAAGAGTGATGGAGCTGGTGTCTCAGGTCTGACATTAATACACTTCAGATGATCCATTTTAAGGAAGTGTAAGACCAACTGTTACTTTGTTCTCCAGAGCCTGTGTCAGTCCAACACCTGGAGTTAAGTCTTCCATTCCTTTTCAGACTGTGCCTGTAGATCTTCAAGGACATAATTTGTTGCTTCAATCTCTCAGATATTATCACTGCAAGGTTCATGGGAAGTTGTTGATACTTGTTCACTCTGTAAGGTGACCAACTGTATTGTTTCTCACCCCTCATTCCCATGGGGACTGTATTGACCTTGTCAATCATAAAAGATCTGTCAAAAGGATTAGGAGAAATAACAGGCAACTGTTTAAAAAACGTGTTTTACCCTTGGCTTGTCTGAAATTTAAGATTGCATTCAGAACAATTAACCTCAACTATAACAGTCAGCAGGTTTTTCCTTAGCTGTTGAGCAGTTTCTGTGACACTGTTTCATTACAATTTTAGCCAAATGCTTGCAGAAAGTGAAAATCTGTTGTTAGGAAAATACACTTCATGCTGAGTTTTAGATTTAACTTTTTAGCTATGTAAAGACCTTATGGTTTTATGCCTTTTCTGTTTGGTTTTTATTTTCCCTTGTAAGGCTTTTGTTGTAATTCCTTCTTTGTGCCAGCTTTGAGTACTTAGGAACAGATTTCATGAAATCTCCTTGTGAGTAGGTCTCACTGAGACTCTTGCAGAAGTTCTATTCTGATAATAAATTCTACTGCTTCAAACTGAGCTAAAAGCCACCCTGTCAGTCCTGTCATTTTGAAACCAGCGACCAGTGTGAGGCTCAGATTATGTCTCAGTGTGTAATAGTTGCTGTGTTTATGAACAGAGTCACCTTCATGAGCAGAAGATGAAAGAAGCCAACCATGCTGCTGCTGTGCAAATCTTTGAGAGAGTAAATTCTTCCTTGCTGCCTATGAACGTGTTGGATCTGCATGGTCTCCACGTGGATGAGGCTGTGAATCAGTTGTCCAGAGTGCTGCAGGAAAAAAGTGAAGGTAGGGTTAAGGTAATAATTCTTGCCCCTGAAAAATGATTCTCCTAATTTTCTACTAAGAAATCATGGTACATGGCAATATTAGAAGGAAGGAATGTAATTTACTAACATGTATGTTAAAAATAGCTGGAATTTGTGTTGTCCTATTTTCAAAGTACCCCCATGGAAATGTTTTTCTTTGACATGACAATGATTCTCATTGCTTTCTGTCTTGTCCTTCCCATCCCCTGCCATGATTCTTTGTAAATCTTCCTTCTGCTTTATCTTTTTTTTTTTTTTTTAATTATTGAATCCTTGATCTTTCCTTCCTGCCATTTTTAATTGAGGTGATAATGCAAACATTTGTCTTATCTTTGCATTGCTTTGTCGGGACTATGTTGTTTTTTTTTAATCTCTAAGCAAAAAACCATTATGTTGGAATTCTAGCCACAATTATTATGTTGTCTTCCACTTTTACATGATTGGAGCTATCTTTCAGAAAGTTCTGTATCAGTTTGTCAGCAGGATCTCCTGAGATCAGAATACTTCTCTTCCAGAAATGTCATTTTGTGCAGTTTTGCTTGAGGGCTCTTTTTTTTTAATCTCCCAGTGGAGTATTCAAGTACTTCATGAGCCTTCTTGCTGTAAAAAGATACATTTTCTGCATTACTAGTTTACCCTGTAAATTGAGGCACACTTGGAATGCTTATATAAGCAGTATATCCTATGCAAGGTACCTCTGCACAAACCTGATTTTTGAATCAGCTGCTCCACACAGTATAAACAAAAGTGTTCAGTGGGGCTTTAGATAATGCTTTTCTTTCAATATGCATCAGAGATAATTAAATTGAATTATCTTGGGCTATTCCTATAATGACATCTGTATAAATTAAGCTGTAACCTAATGCTTTTTAGAGCTAAATTTCCAGAACTACACTTACATCAGGAATCCTGGAATTGACAGTAGGAGCTCCCTGTTCAGTCCATTCACCTACATCTTAAAATAGAAAAAGTTCATTTCAGTGTACATGTGTGGGAGAGGGATCAATACCAGGAACTTTTTGCTGGCAGAATTAACAGTAAACTAATATAAAACCTAAATCAAGTTATGAAAGAGAAGGGAAGTATTTGAGGAAGGATGTCATGTGAACTGATAATTCCAAACTGGCAAATCTTGGCTTTCTTTTTCCTCTTTTTCAAATTCTTCATCAATTTAGATTGCTGTGGTCTCTGGGAAGAGAACAATTTCTTTTGTTATCAGGGCTAGATGCCCTAATAAAGCTCATGGAATGTGCTGATTTCTATGCTCCAGCATAGTTCAAATAAGTGTGACTTAAATGTCAAAAACTGTGGGTTTATATTTTCTTCTTAATTTCTTTTCTCAATAAAATGTTATTTCTTATTCACATTCATTTAAGATAAAACATCAAACAATGGAGACATGTCCCTTAAAAATTAAGTAGATTACACCCACCTCTTTTAATTTTGCAATTTGAATTTATACCACAGGATGTCAAATCCAAGTGAAGATTAGATGATGGAAACAGTAAAGCTGCTATGAAACGAGAAGGATTTAGAGATGATCACCACATGCATATTGCAAGCAGTCGAGATTTAAAAAGCTTGGCTATATTTTTTTTCTGAAGAGGGGAAGAATGGCTATTTTTACATAAAATATGCATAGCCAGCAGGGGAAAGCAAAGTTCTAGTGAGAGTTTTCAGAAGAAGGCATGGAAGGGTTGTACTGAATGTCAAGTGTCTGCTGAGGGAGAAGTGTAACTGTGGCCATTCCTCTGTTGCAGAGTACCAGCAGAGTGGGGGCAAACCCTATCTCAGTGTCATCACGGGAAGAGGAAGCCATAGCCAGGGAGGAGTTGCTCGAATCAGACCAGCAGCTATCAGATACCTCACAAGCCACAACTTCAGGTGAGTTTAGATTTTTGTTACTGATACTACTTTTTTTTTTTCTTTCTTAACCCGCATTTAACCAACTGAAAATTGCAGTTTTAGAATACTGTTAAACAGCTACAGAGGTTAAGGCAAGTCTGGTGTTTCCCAATGCCAGGGCACCTGTTAAATGTTAGATCCTTTCCTCTGCTGTAGTCTGATTGCATATTTCCATTCAAGGTTGCTATCTTTACTGTGAAAAGTTGTTAATCCTGCTTTTTATTGGTCCCCAGTACTTGCTTTAGCACTCATTTTATGTGGGATAGCAATTTAGCAAGTCTATGCTGGCATCAATGTATTTGCTGCTTTTTCTTTAGAGAAATGTGTGAAGGTGAGACTCAAAATAGCAAAGACTTCCCATTTCCTTCTTCCTTTCTACAGAATGCAAGGGTGAAAATCCATTCTGAAAGGAAAAGGGAATGAAAGGAGAGCAGGAATAGAGGAGCAGAATGAATATAACTGAGAAAATTGGACAGCTTCTTTTTCTTAAATCTTCATCTTTCTGCTGTCTCCAGACCCTCTAAAATCCTCCTTCACTGCTACATCCAGGGGACATAATGATGATTTCCTGACTCTCTCACACACAAATACTTGACTGAGAACCTTAGTGCTCTCATATGTTTGAGGATTGAAGGAGATGGCATTGCACGTAGCTTCCATGTTGAAGCTTCATTTTTCTTGTTTCACAGGTTCACAGAAATAAAACCAGGCTGTCTGAAAGTAATGCTGAATTGAGGCATTGTGGAGAAGAGGACTATGGAAACTGAGGTGTCAGATTACAGCTGGATTACATAAAAAAGCCTCATGTTTTGAACAACTGCACTGGTATTTTGTAATCTGTTTTAAAGGATGATATTTTATTAGAAGTGGTCTCAATTTGCAGCAAGTGGTTTTATCAGTATGTTTCCAAGAAAAATTTTGTGTGGAATGGATCCTTTTTTAAACCTGCAAAAAGAAGACACTTAATGGATTTGAAGTCTCAGAAATGCAGATTAATAATTTTGCTGAGAAACAGATGATGTTTTAAAGGGAAGTTAAGGTACAATTTCAAAATATAACTGTCTTCTCAGCATACCCAGTCTGTATCTTATGACCCTCACATGCTTTGATTGCTGTGGATTCTTTTAAAACTTAGTACCTTGTACAAAGCTATTTTGTGATTCTGAACCTTGTGCTAAACCCTTCAGGAGGGCAAAGGAGAGGTAAACTACTGGAGAACTACTGATATTTCAAATCCAGTTACAGCTAAATGCTAAATATTTCCAGGTTTCTTCAAAAGTCTGAAATCTTTTTAGTGTATATATTGTGATGGGTTGGCCAGTTCCACTGTCCTTATTCCATTCTGACCTTCTCCCAGTATTCATAGAGGTTCCATATAGAGGACTGTGCATCAAGACCAGCTCTAAGGCAATTCTGCAGATTTATGGTGATCTATTAAAGGGAAAAACAAAATGCTGTCATTCCATCTCTTCTTACACATAGCTAATACTGTAATTTTGCAGAAATGCTCTTACATTTGTCAACATCTACTAGATTAAAAGTGTTTCTTCCCTTATGGCTTGTTAAATGGAGCAAATTGAGTACTGTTTCACTTTACAAGTATCTAATAGTGGCATCTTCATTCTTCATGTATTAAGTTTGCTGATTTCCTTTTAGAAAATAAGATCATGAGACATGTGAAGTGTATTTTTAACATCAAAGTGAATATTAATGCTGCAGTAGTAATTGCCTAACTGAAAAGTCTGGGAGAACAAAAGTTATTCTGGTTTTGGTGGTGTTTCACCAGCATCTAGAAATACCTGTGTAAAAAAACCAAAACAGCATAAAAAACCCCGAACAAACCTCCTCCAAAATGAAATGCAGACATCTATACTTTGGCAAGTGTTTCCAGTAAACAACCAGAACACTTTTTTTTAATAGAAATGTCTTCTAGAGTGCATTACTCCTTTTATTTACATCTTTGCATCTTGAAAGGCATATGAATTTTTGTTGTAAGGCTTTTTCAGAACAGGTGTGAGGTGTGTATTAGGAATAATATTAATAGCTTAAGGATTAATGGGAGGATTTTTAAAATTTTTAACTACTTTTTCAGTAAATTTTATCCAGGAACTACATGCAAATGGAATTGGTTTGTGAATCCGTATGTGTGTGCAAGTTCTGCCATTTGTGTGCATGAGTACTAATAAGCAAGGAACTTCTGTGAGAAAAGCTGCCCACAGAAATAGGTTTCACTTGAAAATGTGTCTGTATAAGTTGCTGACAAGCTGAAAGACATGATGTTTCCTGAATATCCACATTTACTGGAATACATACACAGTGAATGTAATGCATGGTAGACTTAAAAATGAGTTTGTCATGCTTCAACAGATGAAATGATCTTTTCATGGTGATCTCAAGTGGAAGAATAGCTTGAATGATACTTAATCAAAGGGACTCTTTCTAGAATAGGAATAGAATACATGGACAAAGATAACTTAGATTCTAGTTCAAAAGACGAGCAGAAAAAGTTGTTGTCTTGCCCATCTGTTCAGCATAATCTAGTTGACAACTTTACCCCGGGGATGAGAAACACAGCTTTTTACCTTCTTCTTCCTTAGCAAGTGATGATGATGATTGTGCTTGACTCTCACTTCCCCAGAAAATGCTGTAACCAATGTGCTTGAGGGTATTTTTGAAGTCGCCACTTCCTTAGCCTCTTTCAAAATTGCCACTGCAAGCTAAAAATGCAAAATCAAGGGGACAAAAGAGATTAAAGAATTAAAAGTGCATCAATGGTCTCTGGAAGTGGGCTAGGGCTATTCAGAAAAGCAGCTGCTCCTGCCAAGCTTCAATGACCTTCCATATTATTTTTTATCCCTTAGTTCTGTTTGAATAAATATGTTAAAAATGTTCAGGGGATAACCTCAGCTCTACCTGTTACCAGGAGAATTTGTTTTCTCCAGTCTGTCAAAGTTAGCAGAGAGGTACATAGCTAAAGAGCAATTTGGAGTTCTTCTCTCTCTCCCTCTCTTCATTGTCCTTTTGGGTACAAGTTGAGGTTCACTAAAGTAAATGCCCTGTCTGGTTATAGATTGATCATTCACTTAAAATAAGTTGTTTGACTACAAGCTGAACTTTGATGGAAAATGATAGTTTAAAATTGTAACGTAGGCAGAACCAATCTTGGCTTTATCGAAAATAGCGACAGAGCCTCTATCAGCTCCACCAACTCAGAGCAAATAGGACCTCAAATAGGATTTCAAGCATGTGTTTAAAAGCTGTGCTGAGCTGGATACAGGATGGAGCAGGAGATCAGTGCACAGAGAGAAAGAAAGTAGAGTTTTATCAGTAAGGATCTCCATACCTTCAACTACTTGCCAATATTCCAGAAAAAAAACCCCCAGTGGAGTTCTTGTATTTCTCTGACTGGTTTTATAATGTATTCTGGGATGAATTCTATGAAATGTAATTGTTTCAAAATGGTATTTCAAAGTAGGTTACATTTGAGAAGTTCCAGGCTTTCTGATGTCTTTTGTGGTTACATCAGTGAGATTCCTGAGGTGTTGTGTAAATTCTGTATCATCTTATATTTTAATTGCAATAGCAGCTAGCAGTATTGCCACCAGCACTCTGAAACAACTTGCAACTGTTCAAATACCTATTTTGTGTACCACTTTTTATTCTGTTCTTCAACAGCATGTGGTTGTGATGACTGGTAGCCTTTAATACGTGACTTTTGGAGTCTTTTTTACAAAGCAGTTCAATGGTTTTCCCAAATTTTGATTTAGGAAAATTATACATTTCTTAATATACAAAATTAATGCTTGTGCTAACATTAATGAGTAATCCTACAGTTAAAAAAAAAAAAAGGCCAGAGATGCAATGAAGAAAGTTGTCCTAAGGAATGTGACTGTTGAAAAACATATTTCAGTTGATTGTGACAGTAGGAGGGCAAAAACGATTGGGTTGGGGTTGTTTTGTTTTATATTTCAGGATACCTTGGCAATAGTTAATGACTTTGGCTTTTGCTTTTAATATCATGTGGTACAACCCCTGCACCCCAGACCCAACTGAAGCCCAACTGTTTATTCTACTCCAGCTAAATAAACTGTGCAGAGGATTAAATGACAATATGTGAATATGCATGTGAAAAGACCTAGTATTGCAGCTACCAGTTGTAAAAGCTGTTAGGACCAGTACATTGGAAGATAAAAATTTCTATTTTTAAACTAAAATAAAACCCGATTTTTTTTATTTGTATAAAGTTGTAATTTTACTGTTAACTATAACGTTCATTTTTTTACTGAAATAGTTTTGTAATTTGCATTTAGAATTTCTAATGTGAAAAGGAATTTACAAAATCTAGTTTAATAAAGGACTTTTGCCACAAGTATGGTTTTCTGTCTTTCCTTGGGAAACTGTGTTTAAGCTTGTATCAAATTTTGTCAAATAGTAGACTCAGAGTTCTGCATGAAAGCCACTTGCCTTGGCTTCAGGATACCATCTGCAGGGAGATGAAACAACCATCTGCTGGTGTGAAAAGGAACAGATTTGTGGCCTGAATTTCAGTATTGCAAGTGGGAGCTGAATGCTCACATTACTGAAAATGAGGGTCATGGTTTCAGATTTTTTTGTCCTGACATAGCTGAGGAGATGCTGTTGCAGCCTAGCTTACTTGTGGGGGGTGAGGGCAGTGGTGTATGTCAGGGGAAAGGCCAGTCTGGCCACTGCAACAATGAGAGTTTGGGGAGAGAGGTCTGGATAGACCTCACCTAGCATGACCCTTAGGGCAGGGGCAGTGGTGGGTTGGATCCTGAGGAAGCACAATCACTGGACCATTGTGGATTCAGAGCTAGTGTGCCTGGCTTTTCCCAAGCCTGCCCTGTTCAGGTCAGGTGCAGATATTCCTGTGTATTGTCCTAGAAGTGTGGAAAGACACCTAAGACCAAAGTGCTGGCTTGAGTCCAGCCTGTTTTATCAGCTCACTTTGAGGACATCTAACTTCCACCCAAGCTGACTCCTGCAGAATCACTGCTATAACTTCATTGCCTGGGAGCTTGGATTGATTGCAGATACAAGTCAGGTTTGTGCATTTCCACAGCAAAGCCCTAACTCATAAGCTGTTCAAAAGAGCAGGGAAAGCAGGTTTTGGGAAAACATGACAGCTTGGCAGATCCTGGTTTAAATCTGACGTGGATGATCCTGAGCCACAGTTAGTTAGAGCACAGCATTGGGGGATGCCTGGTTGGTTGTGTGCTCCTTACTTAAAGGGCTCCCTGCTCTGGCACCGTGGCTCAAGGTCCAGTTTGTGATGTTTTAAAGTGGAGATACCACTACTGGCCTCATCTTCTCTCTGAAGGCAGGAGACACAGCTTAACTCCTACCCCTGCTAAAACAGTCCATCCTGATTCAGCTCCTGTTTCAGGTCATGCCCTTATTTCCCCTGAGTTCTGGGATAGTCCTGAGCTCCTCTTTGCTTCCAGCTGGGATTTTGCTCCTCAGTGACACTCTGGGGATTTCTGAGAGACTTCCTCCCTGTTTAAGAAATGAAATATTTCCATCTGTCCTTACTTATGGAAATGATTTGAACTTTAAGACTGAAAATTCAAGTGTGGTAAGATAGAAGTACTGCTTGAGGCAAACAGAAATTTTCAGCTCAAATTATTTAATTAAATCTTGTGGCTGCTGGTGGAACACGTTGGGTAGCTCGACAATAGGTGGTGCCCTTGCCAATGGCATAGAGTGATGGTGGCAGCAATTTTTACTGTGCACCTTACCAAAGCTGTTGTTACTCTGTGTGACAGGCACTAGAGGATTTTATTACACATCACGTGCTGTTTGTTTCTTCCTCAGAAGGAGAATAACTGTATTCAGAGTATTATTTTGGTGAGGTATTTTTTGTTCTTCTTTACAGATGGGTGGGGTAGAGTTTGTTTTCAAAATATACTTGCATCTCTGTGCTAATAAT